TCATTTAGATGTGTTTTGCAGCTTTACCCATGAGTTTAAAGGAATTAAATTCTATATATATTTTTCAACCAATAAAATCCAATCAGAAGGTTTGTTTGATAGACAATCATTACAAAATACTTGGTGGATGTAGTTGTAAACTTACCACATATTATTTTTGGACCATTTAAAAAATAACAATAATAACTCCTTTCTCCACTCTTGTAAATTCGAGAAAAAGATTTTCACTAGTCACTGTGAAATTATTTTCTAACTAATGAAAACCTTGTATTCAAAAAGTTCATACTTCTATGTGAAATTATATTTTGAATCCCCTTATGGATATAAAAATAGAAGCATTTTGCTTCTTGAGGCTCACAGTAATTTCAGATGCCAGTTTGTTCTACATGTGCATACACACACACACACACACATATGCACACAATGAAAGAGATGACAGCCAGCAGCCACTGACTAAGGCCTTGTCCACACACACAACAAAAGGGATTAACCAGCAGCCACCAACTGAGCCTTTGTCTATGAACTCAGAAACACATCAGGCTGGCTGTCATAAAGGGAGACTCTCCACACATTTTACACCACACTAGGAAGACTTAATTACTTTATAAAACAAACTTCACTGCAAGGAAAATTTAACATTTTATTGTCATTGTATATTTCAGAAAAGAATATATAAATGGTATTTCAACTGATGTTCTGCTTCTACTTTTCCTTCATAAAATAACTTTTTTATGTTTAATTTAAAAGATGTGTTGTTGTTGTTGTTAAATGTTTGGAATGCAACACTCAGATAGCAACAAAACCCTGGGTAGACAGAACTCAACAAAGTAAGTATTTTGGTCATTTCAACTCAGTGCAAGGCGGACTTAAGCTCGACCATTCGTATCATTACTTACCCAAACTTACTTATGAACCAGGAAAAGGAAACAGACATCCCCAAGAGATATTGAGAAGTTTGTTTCCCTACAGTTTCTATAAAAAAAAAAGAATGAACAATCTGTAGTAGAAATGGGAGTTTTTGCATGCTACTTCTTTAATTGTAACACATACACACCTAAATGTTTTTGTATGCTTCTTCTTTAATTGTAACACATGCACACCTAAATGTGAACACATAAACACCTAAAGTGCACCCAATATACATACATTGAACATATTATGAATTAATTCAGTTTTCAAGACTGGCTATTTCAGATTCTTTAGAGGATTTGAAATAGACAATTTTCTGATGATTTCTAAATCTGTGTGCAAATTTGAGGGCTTTTTTTAAAAAAAATACAAATATATTTATTGAGGCACTCTATTTAAACTGAACAGTATTTTTTTTATTTGAACATGTTAATATCTTGAAATAAAAAAACATTACTAATATTAAATAGAGTACTTCAAAAAATCTATATGCATAAAAACTTTGCATAAGCCAGCAAAACTTTGCTTACAGACATTTGAAATGTTTATATCCACCTTCTCTTTCATTCATATTACATACCTCATTCATCATTACAAATTCAATTGTCACCTTCTACCTTAAGTGGCTCCAGAGCCTTGTAGTGGGTGAACTTTAGTAATCTGTAAAAGCCAAATAATTTTTACTTATTACTATTAAAAAGATTCAGGAGATTTCTATTTATATACAGGGTTACTCAGTTCTTTGAGGACACGTATTTTAATAGCTCTAACTTTTTCTAACTTGTTCTGATTATCATTACTTAAATGATGACAAACATGAAGTTAATTCAGCAAAAGAAAAGGCATTCTGTGATCATTACCTTCAAGTCAAAGCATAGTGATTTATAGATTACTTATTTCCTGAAAGTTCCATGGTCATTTGTTGTCAAAGATTCTACAGCAGTAACTAAACATAAAATGACTGCTAAGGGTCCTAAAATACTATCAAAACACCCACATTTGTATGAAAGGTGCAAAATCTTTTGATAAGAACTCCAGAAAGTTTATTATTGCCATTGCTTAGGAGCCCAAGATTTAAGGCTCTCTTTTGGGAGAATTGTGAATGAGGACATTCGATACAAGTCATATGTAATGCAGAGATGACAATTCAAGCCTGCAAATAAAAAAGATAAACATCTGATCTGCACAAAGCACTTGTTGAGTAAGTTCAAACATAAAGGGCCTGAAATATTTTGTTTTTTCTTCAATGAGAAAAGCTTTCATCAGGACCTAAAGGTCAACTGAAGAAATGATAGATGGTGATGCTGAGACCTTAAGAATGATCCAACAGTCAGGCATACAAAGTTTCTGCCAACTGTGATGATTCTAGGAGTTGTGAGAAATGATGGCGATGTTATGCCTCCTTACTTCTTTCCTTGGGGTTTAAGGGTCAATCCTTCTGACTATAAGGAGGTGTGGGAGAGGGTAATGAGGCTTAGGAGAGTGTGAGCAAAGAAAGGCCATACACCTACCAACAAAATTCTGCACTGTCTCATAAGGTAAAAGACACTCCAAGAATGGATGAGTTAAAATCTCTGTGATCATGTCATTCCAAATATATAGTCTCCTAGCTCTCCAGACCTGAATCCATTGGACTACAAAATACGGGGCGTAGTTGACAGAAAAGTCAATCAATGCCTCCATAAAACTATAAAATCTCTTAAATAAATTACACAATATCCCAAATAGATAAAGATCATCTGATTTGGGCATGTCAATGTTTCAGACCTCATATTGAAGCATTTAGTGATGCTAATAGCAGATTCATTGAATTATTGATTATTCATGCCAATGTTTTCTCAAATAAAGCTCTTCATACATCTTTTACTAAATTTAGGCAAATGCCTTCAAAGAACTGAGAAATTCTGTATATGATTAACTACTAGCCATTTCCAAACTAGATACATCAGACCATGATCTACCACCATTCATGATAAATGAATGTACCTTCAAGGCCACACCATGCCTTGAGAGGATATTGGCCCTCTAACTCACTCCTGACCTCAAGTGGAATTCCTCTAATCCATTGCTAAAGATACGGGTAAACTGATTGGCTCCCTGTACCACTCTAGTAAGTACCTGCAACTGTGATGATTCTTGGATGCGACAGCAATGATGGATATGTCATCCCTCTTTATTTCTTTCCCCTGTAAATTCTAATGACTATAAGGAAGTGTTTGAGAGAGTTTTGAGGCATTAGATAAGGGGTAGACAATCCAGGAATAAATGAGTTATGTCAACCCAAATATATGGCCTCCTAGCTCTCTAGATCTAAATCTGTTGGATTACAATGCGTGGGGTGTAGTTGAAAGGGAAGTCAGTCAACGCCCCCATAACACTCTAAAATCTCTGAAGTCTGTTTAGCAGAATGTAGATAAAGATCATCTGGTTTGGGCATGTCAACATTTCAGACCTTGTATTGAAGTAGTTACTGAAGCCAATGACAGATTTATTAGGTAGATGCATTAAAAAGAATCTCAAGATTATTCATGCCAATGTTTTCTCAAATAAAGCTCTTCATTAATGCATCTTTTACTAAATTTAGGCAAATGCCTTCAAAGAACTGAGAAATTCTGTATATGATTAACTACTAGCCATTTCAAAAAGGGTAAATTTTCTTAGCAATACTCTTAATAAAAACCATACAGAAAACAGTAGTATTCCATTTATATTAAATTTAAATCAATTTCATTACAATTATATCTATCCACTCAGTTTAATGTGTCCCATCCTTATGCTTACTATATTTGATGATATATAAATCTTCTTTCCAGTTTTTATTTAATATTATATGTGTAAATGGTGTAATGGATAGCAGCTTAGAATGAGAAACCATAGAGTCAAGTTCAAATTCCAGTCAGGTTTGTTACATTCACTTATGCACAAATACCCTTGAGAAAGATATGAATCCATCTCCTCCAACTATGGGTTAAATAGTAGGACTTATATCTGGAATTATCATTGTTACTCTCAAAAAATTGTTAATGCAATAATCCCTCAGAAAAATAAAATAATTATTCTTACAATGAAAAATCTATTTCGGCCTTAAATTATCCACAAGTGTTGATAAACTGTACAAAAAATATCAGATCAATCAATTATTGTTGAAAATTATTATAAAAATTGTTAATGCAATATTTACTCACAAAAAAAGTGAATTAATCTTACAATTCAAAATATGTTTAAGCTTTAAATAACCCACAAAGTGTTGATAAACCATAAAAATCATAAATCAATCAATCAGTTTTCATTGAGAAAAGCATGAAACCATTTCTTCTTCCCTAGGTTATGGGTCAAATAGCATTGGGCTCTCTAACCTTGGGTGGTAGCCAGTCTAGGAGAAGGACAACACTGAATCCAAAACTGGAGAAATTAATTGAAACAAAATGAATAATTCTGTTATTATTTACTATTTTTCATATTTTTCCAATGAAACATGACCCACTGCACATGTTAGTAATTTGTACGCTCATTCCACAAAGTTGTTCCTTGCAGAGTGACCACAGATTCTCGATTGGATTTAAATCAGGAGAGTTTCTAGACTCATCTATAGTACTTTGATTTGCTCACTATTCAAACCTATTATTCATGCAGCGTTACACTTTTTGTACACTTCCTTGCAGACAATAGGACAATTAATCAACAGTCAAGACAATAGTGTGATAAAAATCTGATGCAATCATGGATGACACAATATCTTTCAAGGCCAAACAAATTTCATCATACATCCAAAAAATAGATTCATATTACTGCACACCACTGCAAATGACCTAATCTCAGGAAAAATAAAAATCAATTAAACACTGTCACTCCAGGGAATCTAAAACTGACCATATGGTGAAAGAAAGGAAACTAAAGCAGTTGTTTCAATTAATTTGCACAAGGGTGTATGTAGGTATAGTAGGCTGATGAAAGAAGAGGAAAGGTGAATTCATACCTTTCTTAATGGTATTTGCACTTAATGAATATAACAAATGTGACTGGAATTGTAAGTCAGCTCTCTGATTTCTAATTTCAAGCCATTACCCATTACACCACCTGCACATCCAAGCTTACAAAACCTATTATTCCTAAGTGCTCACAGATCTAGGTACTGATCAGGCTCAACATTGCTTAACTTCAGTGATCATATGAGAACCGTTTTTTTAATATGATATGGTCATAAGCCCACATGTGTGTGTATGTGTAGGTGCATTTACATATAACTATATTGATAAAAAATATCTATTAACAGACTCAATGAATTTATCTTATCTATTATGTCCCCAGATATAGGTAAGTAAGGAAACCCTTTACGAAAAAATTAACAGTAGATTTTTATAGTAAATATATTTTATGGTCTACAAAATATATATCTAAAAACATTGAAAACATAAAATTACATACAAAATATTTAGATTTTGAGATTAAATAACGCATAGAGTTTGATATCAATCTGCAACCACTAATATGTACATTTAACTCTGCAAAATACAATAAGAGATAAGTCACTGAACTTTTTATTTATTTATTCGGTAAGTATATAGTGTGCGATGGATAAATTGTCATCTAAATTACGCAAAAATGGAAATAACGCTAACATCTCATTTTAAAAAATATATTTACCAAAAGTATACAAAAATATCTTGAAATACTAAAGAGTAAATTTATTCAATAAAATCTCCATTGGCTTCAACCATGGCTTCCAGATGATGTTAGAATCTCTTGTAAATCTTCTGGAAGGGCTCCTTGTTTCAGTTGGTGAATGATACCATAATCCTTGCCTTCAAGGTGGAGATAGGTGGCAAGATGTAAGGGGTGATGTGGTTGCAGAAATTGTCTGATAGCTATGATTGAGATCTTCTGCTTGTGTGGCATGATGCGGAGTCCTGTTGCCAGACATAAGGTCTTCCAGCACTACCCTCTTGACCCCAGGCATCACTACTTCCTCAAGGTACTTGATGTAGGCCTCCCACAACAACAAATTAGGGAGTTCTTTTCTTATCAGAATGAGCAGAGTGAGTTTTCCAAGCTGCTGTACCTTTGTAATCACCATTAGACTCATCCAACTCTTTTTGAATCCTCTGCACTATCCTCAGATTGACACCCAAACAAAAAAATATAAATGATAACAATTTGCCCATTGCATCCTGTAGATGGTTGTATAAGTGTGTGTATGTATTTATTAATACTTATTTTTGTCTGCCTGATTACTTGTTATATATTTTACATGCACAAATACCCCAAGTAACTTACAGCAGAATGATTTGATTTTATTAACTATAACAGAATCTTTTACATACCTAGGAAGCAAAATAAATTCTACTGAAAAGAATGTGAAAAATCGCATAGCTTAAGCCTGGGTTGCCTTGAATAAACTGGATGTAATTTAGAAATCTTATCTACTAGACAGCCTCAAACAGGGTTTCTTTCACGCCACTCTAGAGCTGGTGTTAATGTATGGTGCCACTGCTTAGACATTAACTAAAACCCTAGAGTCTAAGCTTGATGGAACCTACACTCAGATGCTGAATGCTATACTTAACACCTATTGGAGACAACATCTAACTAAATCTATGGACCCATCCCTGATATTTCTACATTCTTATGTGAACAGGATACTGCTAGTGAGCAAAACAAGAACATGTGAGTGATTTACTGTTCTGGGCACCTATCCATGGTGCTAGACAGGTTGGTTGCCCAGTAACCACCTACATTGACCAGCTATGTTATGACACAGAATGCTGCACTAATGACCTTCCAACCTTTATAGAGGATCATGATGGTTGGTGTGATAGACACATGAATGTCTGAGCTAGATCAAATGAATAATAAAAAATAAATATGACAAAATTAATTTAAAAAATGTCTCTTTCCTTTGACATGTACTTAGGCTGAAGTAGCTATTTCAATAAACTTTATGATTGTAACTTGAATGCTCTTTTATTGAGAGAAAAAAAAGAAAAATCAACAACCTTTTTTAATGGATTCTAGTAGGGTAACTATTAATTTTGCTAAAGAATAAAGAAGGAAATTATTTTCTCTCTTAGAAAGAAACCCAAGATCTTATCTATTCTAGGCTCACATTAATTCACCAATAAAAGAATATAATCATTTTTTAAATTGAAGTGCCATCTTTTAAGGAATATAATTACCAAGTTTTACAAAATGCTGTTCATTTTAATTTTGTGAAAAAAACTTGTCCCCTCTCTTTGAGTTTGTGTGTACACACACACACACACACACACATTTATCTATCTATGTATCTATCTATCTGTGTGTATTTCTCTCTCTCTCTCTCTCTCTCTCTCTCTCTCTCTCTCTCACTGTATGGTGGACTCTCCTATTGTGAATGATAAATGAGGGTCAGCATTGGATGGTGCCTTTTGTTTTACACTTATGCATGCTAGCAGGGGCTATTGTAGAGAACATCAGGTAATGGAAAGACATATTTCATTTGTCCTTTCTTAAGTGTGATACTAGCCCAGCCTTGCTGCAGGCGACAAAGCCACACTGACAGATGAAATTTCTTAAAGCAGGATTTTGAGGGCATCTCTGCTTCAGAGTTTGATGAAGCTGATCATGGTGCTTCAGTCTACAATCTTCAAAACCCTTTAACTTAATGAAACATGTCTCACTATATATATATATATATATATATATATATATATATATATATATTAAGAAATGGACAAGGTCCGACAATTTATTTATTAAAGACATATTTTATGTTTAACGTTGTTATTTTATAGATACAAGTATTTAAGCAAATGCTCTGTTTATGATAAACAGTATTAAATAACATTTACCGGCCTGAATGTCCGAGAAATTTTCATAGAAAATTTTCGTTCTTTTGACAGGATTCAACCTGCATCCTATAATGAACCGTCATATACGCTGACGTGCCTTACCGCTTAGGCTACAAAGAAGCGTTAAATAGACAAGGTCGAATTTACTGCTTATAAACTCCAATTTTCCATGAATCTCGTACATTCATAACTGCTCTGGCGTATCATAAACAGAGCATTTGCTTAAATACTTGTATCTATAAAATAACAACGTTAAACATAAAATATGTCTTTAATAAATATATATATATATATATATATATATATATATATATATATATATATATGTTGTTTATATCTAACAGTCTGTTTACATTCGTCTATCTATCTACCTCAGTCTGTTTATATCTATGTAGCTAGTTAGCTAAGTCTGTTTATATGTCTATCTCTATGTGCATGTATGTTTATATCTATCTGTCTCTATCTATCTATGTATATATATGTATGTTTATATCTGTCTCTATATATCTATATATCTGTATGTTTATATCTATCTATCGATCTATACATATATATATATATATATATATATATATATTTCTATTCTATTTCTGTCCGTTTTTATCTATCTATATATCTCAGTCTCTTTATGTTTATCTATCTAATTTTGTTAGTGTTTATTAGTCTTTTACTTTTATCAAACTGAATTTATCTTATAGTGTTTATTATTTTACAGTAGTCTATCAAATGTATCTGTTTACATAAAATTCCCATACTTTATTTGTGAATCTAATAATAAATCAAATCTATTTTTGTTCTTCTTTCTATTTTTCTTACTTCTTTACTCTTCTAACAGCAAAATAAAAATTAACTGAAAGCAAAGTTATTAATGTATAATTTCACAGCTCTCCACAAAATGTTTTTTCATTTATACCAACACCAAATATATGTCCAGTTTTTTCTTGAATGCATTTTCAGAAACGTATAAATTGTTTAGCAGAGTAACCAACAGAAATTTATTTTTAAGTGTGTTTTCCAGTGTTTTTAATATTAAAAATATCTCCTACTGTGTATTTAATTCTTTCAGAAGTTTTAAAAAAAAAAAGAAGAAAAATCAGACATTTTCACACATTTATATTGCTATAAGTGTTGTCCAAAAAAGTAAATTACTACCAACTGTGTTTTGTATGATTTGGAATAACACAAATTATCTTTTTAGCGTATAAGAATATTAAAATATCAATACCAAAAATGTAAAGTACATACTCTTTCTCACTTTCTGTTTACTTGTCTATCACACACACGCACACATATATGTAAAGAAAAATTTTCCATGCTTCTTATAGCATATAACTATAGAAGACTGATGAAAGAAATTTGAGAGTTAAAATACAACAAAAATAATAATATTGATAATAAAGCTAATAATATTTATTGTATTTTGATCAAGGTGATTGCCTGCTCCCCAACGTAATAAAATTTAACACTTGGCAAATTGGTTCATAAAAAAGCATTTTGGTATATCTATGTAGATAAAAGAAGAAAATCAGTGTGTAGGATCTATTCATATTAAACAAATCCTACTTTAAAATGTATATAAAAAAGAAAATACTACATAAAATCAGTAGTGCTGTAGCATCTAGGATTTGTCTCCCTTTAATAGATAGGTTTCATTAATAAACGAAAAATGAATCCCATAGCTATTATGCGGCTTATTCATGTTATTTTAGTTCTGTCAATAATATTTCCTCTACATTTGTAAATGAAAAATATGATACAGTAAAAAAAAAAAAATCTAATCATCAGAGATAGATAGATAGATAGAAGATTGCCCTGATTTTGACCAAATGAAAGCATGGTGAGAAAGATGTTAAAAATCAGAATTTTCAGACATGCCTTTTCAATGAGAAATAAAAGTGAAGTGGTACTTTTGGCAGGATGATTATTTCATTATAATTCATTCATGTACAGTAATATATCCTTTGGTTGGTTGCCATGTTATATCAAGTCTGCCCAACCAGTTCCTGAAATGGCTGGATATATTTCAGACTTCATAGCTGTAGAATAATTCAAGAATAGTTTTTGGTTTTTTAAATCCTGATAAACTTGGTCATGAAAATTATGTAAATGTAATTATGTTAAAATATGGAAGAAAAAGATTTTTTTTAATTGCTTCATTTTGAGTATCTGTGCTCACACTGAACAAATATGATTTGAGATTGTCTGACTGTTGTTCCTTAAATAAAGAGCAGAAGTATTGTTTCATGTGAAGAGGACTGTATTTCATCTGAAATTCTACACCTGGCATGTAAGTTGATCTCAAGCTAAAAGCTTCAAACTATATGCTAGTCTACATTACAAAATTCTACACCCTTTCAATAGGAATTATATTTCAC